AATGCGCTCTTATGGTCTTGATTGCACCAGCATGGTTGAGGCAAACTTGGTTCCCTTACTTGCACAGATTAGTGATAGAGCATGTGCGGTGCAGCAGAGCACTGCTAGAAAAATCTCCGGGCACCAGCGTAAGAACGCACCAGAGTGGAGCACCCACAGGGACGCACATCTCGAAGAAACCTCGCTAGTGCACAGGGAGAGTAACTCTCTTTTTTTCTCCAGTGCAGTCTTCAGCAACTCCTATTTTTAACATGATTACTGTGTTCTGTGGGTGGGAATGCAAGACATTGATAACAATCATAGTGAGGTTAACACTTTTGTGGATATGGTGGGAAATGTACAGAATTTTTAAGGCATCTCCCAAAGCAAAATCCTGCCTTTAAAAAAAAAATCATTCCTCAGTAACTACAAATAACTTCTCATGTATGCAATAGCTTTGCCTCCCTTGGGCTGACCTTTGAACACAACAGAGAGTTTCTGATTTTTGTTTAGGAGAATAGTAACCCACACAAATTTGCTATATAGTGTTAGCATTGCCCTGTTTGTGAGGAATTAAGGATACATTTGGGATTGCAGCAAATACTGACCCTAACAGAGTGCAACAGCAGACCCCAGCAATGTGGCTCTTATGAGCTGGAGGCAGGGCTCCTTGCAGAGAGGGGGATGGGACAGACATAAATAGGCAGGACTTCAGGGCAGAACCCATAAATCTATTAACCCCAGCACAAGGAGGCAAAGGTTGCTAGTGCTGACTGTATTAGGGCAGCCATGTGAGGGCCCTGCTGCTGTAGAGCTTGCAAAGGGAGGATTCTGTCCTCCTGACTGTCACAGGATTGTCTATGCACAGGGTTGCCAGACGGTTTAACAAAAAATACCAAACACACCGCCAAAAAAAAACACTGGGGAAAAAATTTTGTTGAGCCAAAAAAAAGGGCAGAGGGGGAGGAGACCAAAGTTGTTGATCAAAAAAAAAAGGAGGGGTGTTGTGCCTTTAAATGGCCCCATACTCCTCACTCACCTCTCCCCCTCCACACACTCCCAGATGTGGCAGGGGAAAATTGTCCCCACCGGGCTTCCATCCTAAGGAAAGAGGAAATACCGGACATGTGAACATTTCACATGTCCGGTATTTTCTGTTTTTTGTTTTTTTGTTTTTTTTTTTAACCCGATGGGTGACCCAAATAATGGACAGTCCAGGCGAAAACCAGACACCTGACAACTCTGCCTATGCAACCTATGCTGGGGTATGACCCAGGCTGAAGAATATCCTTGGTGAATGTGGAAAGAGTCGAAGGGTGAGGGATTGGGGAAGGGAAACTTGTCTACATTTTTAACCTCCCAAATTCATGACATTTACCCTTACTAGCTTTCACTGTATAGCCCTTGGACTCCTGTTCTTAACCAGCCTTTATCAGGCCAGTGTGTAGAACAGGAGTGGGGAACCTCTGGCCCACGGGCTGGATCCAGGCTCCTGCTTAATTTCATCCAGTCCAGGCAAGTGTTTATGCTGCATGCTGGAAGCCCTGAACCTCGGCATCCATTTTCTCTCCCCGTGGGGCTGAAGCTGTAAGCACTGGCTCCCGGCGATCCGGGAAGCTGTGCAGGCTTGATGTTAAAATCAAGGGTAGAAATTCCCTAGGATAGCTATGGCTGTTGTTCTCAACACAAGGAAGGTGAAGGTTAGACGTTTACTTCTTGGCTTCTGATCTACTGTGTTACAGGGCGTCTTGATATCGATCAGTGAGTTTTCTGCTATGTGAGAACATTTCTAACATTTCTTTGTTGTTGCTGTGAGGGAGGAATGATAGTTACATGACCTGATTTTTTTCCCGGATTCTGCAGGGAATGTTGCATTTGCTGTGCCAGTGTAAAAATCACTAGCTGAGCCTCTGGCTCTGTGGCTGCAGTTTGGTAAACAACAAACTCAAATCCTCACTGAAAATAGATGTGTGTCAGGAGGGAAGGGGAAGGAAAGGAGGGGACACTGAACCGCAGTCTATTGAGTCTTGCTGCTGTGCCAAGGTGGGGCCATTATGGGCAATACCATCCACCTTGTGGGCTGATGGGAGAGCACTATGTCACTTTGTGGTTCCTCATTCCTGGACATGACTAGGGTATGAACAAATGGCCAGTGGTGCTGGTGATTCACCCTGTTGCAAGAGTTCACTCATCTGCATGCCTCACGGATCTATGCTAAACCTCTTGAGAAGTTCATTTTTCACTGTTCATTTTTTGATGCAGTATCCAGGGTCCTTATCATTGTCATTATGGTATTTTTTTCATAGACTCACTTAAAAACTGTAGTACCAGATAATGGGCATTGTCTTTCAGTCATTCATCTGGATGAAAGAGGTTCTAGTTGCAGAATAATCTTATTCAATGAAAGGGAGTTGCTCCAGTTTTATATGGGTGTAAATGAAAACAGAATTTGGGCCAAAAAGGATGTAAAAAACGCAGTGAAGTTAGGATAAAAGTACATTGTTCCTATTTGTGTGTTATGTTGTGGGGCAAATAACCACATTAATATGGTGTTATGCTACAATGTTGTCATGTTGCTAAGTTGCAAATAGTATTAAATAGAGAATGAAGCATTTCTTTTCATCTGTGTGTAACTGATGTGTTGTAATTGTGCAATGAAAATCCTAGCCTTAGATGTGGTCCTTCAAGCATAATTGTTCCTCAGAGTTTGTATGTGATACACAGCACCACCCAGCAGTGGTATTACACAGGTTGGACCTCCCTGGTCCAGAACCTTCAGGACGTGACTGGTCCTGAAAAAGGTAATTTGCCAGACCAGGGAGGTCCCCTGCCACTGTCCCTCCCCCTCTCCCAGCCTGCTGCCCCTCCTTGCCGCTGGCTCCTTTTTCACCTCAGCTGGCTCCTCGTTCTCTGTCCTGGCTGGAAAATCAGCCCCAGCCAGGCTGCCACTGAGCTCCTGGCCCCAGGGCTCTCTGATCTGGAAACATCCATGATCCGAAGAAAGGCCACAGCCAGTCTTAGGGACAGTCACCTCCCACCACACTTCACACGCCCTTGCTTTAACACGCGTGTCACTTCAGTAACACTGGTGGGGAAAAAACTATGGAGATTGAAACCAGAGGAATCTGGCAACCCTGCACGTGGGCAATTGTAAACAAAATTTGTCATGGGCCACACATTGGCGTCATTGGCAACAGAACAATATAAATCCCTTTTCTCCCCAAGTAACAGTTGTTCCATGTGTAATTACTTCCATGGGCAGCGAGTTCTATGGGTCCTGGGCCCCAGGAATATTCCTGGCCTGGGTCTGGTTCCATCACAGTTTGGGGCCGAATCTCTCCCTTGGTCCTGCCTGCCACTCCCGCATGCACCCCCCTTCTGTGTCCTGTGGCTCGCCGGCTGATATAAAAATGTCTTGGGGACTCTCACCACAGGCAGAGCAGCAGGGCTAGAACGGCTGCCAACATGTGCAAACCTGCATTCTTCTGGGGGTGCCTCTGCACGCTGCCCCCAGTGGCCCTGCATCAAATAGGAAGCTGTGAGGGCAATGCCTATGGATAGCAGTGCATGGAGACTCCCCTGGCCCACCCCTGCCTAGAAGCCATTGACAGAGGTGGTTGTCCCAGGTACCAGGGGCTGCACCCATTGCACCCCACCTCCTCCCAGAGCCTTCTCCCCATACCCCATCCTGCACCCCCATCTACCCCTGCCCAGTGCCTGCACCCAGCACCCAAACTCCATCTCAGAGTCTGCACTCTACACCCCTCCCAAACGTAAATACAGTCCCAGAGCCTGACCCCTCACCCGCTCTTGCACCCAAACTCCCTCCCAGAGCCTGTACCTCCTCTTGCACCCCAATCTCCTGCACCCCATACTGCTACCCTAGCCCAGAGCCTGTACTCAGCACCCAAATGCTCTCCAAGGGCCTGCCCAAAGCCCCCACCCAAACTCCATCTCAAAGGCTTAGGCAGGTGTGTATGTGTGTGTAGTGTGTGTGTGTGGCAGAGAGAGAGAGAAGAATTTTCTTACGTCTTCAAACCTGGTACCCCTGATTAATTCAAGGAAATTCATCCAGTCCCTCCTTTTTACCCCTAATTCCTACAAGACTTCTGTAGCTCTCCTAAAGAACTACTACAACTTAAAAACCAACAATGGCCCTGTAGTACCTTAGAGACTAACAAAAGTATATAAATAGTATCATAAGCTTTCCTGGGCACAACCCATTCCATTTGTCATCTGAAAAAGTGGGTTGTGCCTACAAAAGCTCATGTTACTATTTATATACTTTTGTTAGTCTCTAAGGTGCTACAGAATCATTGTTGATTTTGTTTTTTGTTTTAAGTTACACTAACACAGCTACCTCTCTTCTAAAGAACTAATATTTTTCTTGTGTTGTAAAATTTTTTTCTTTGGAGACCTGTTTATGCTTCCTATACTTTCAGGGTAAAAGTCTGTCTGTCTCTCTCTGTGTATGTCAGTGAGAGTCATGCATTAATGTATGTGTGGGATTCATCACTGAGAGATTTTTCCAAAAATTAAACCTTGCTATTTTTGAGCATCCTTGTAAATATATTTATTCTGGAGAGCAATCACACAGTATGTTTTGACATTAACTTTAATGTTTAAAAATATGAGCAGTCCTAACAGTTTTTAATTCCATTGCTACTACTTCCTATCTTTCACAGTCTATTTTTCTTTTGATCTCAAGAAAAAATTGTCTTTTAGTCATCTACGATAGTCATCATGTTGAAAGTAACTTTCTGGTGACTGCAATTCCCATCTTTTGGTTAATTTCATTGGCGCTCTTATGTTATCAACTGATACATCTTTTCGGTCTTTACATTTTTTTATTGTATTCATCTAGTAAAAGATTTGGTTCATATGTATTTTATACACATGTCTTGCAGCCTGCCATTCTTTGTTATGTATACACTATTCTAACATATTTCTGTAACCAATTAGCTGGAAAGGCTGCCTTGCTCATCTTTCATTTTCATTTTGTTCTTTCTTTTCTTCTCTAGATTGCAAAGTCCACGA